ATTAAGACATATAGAAAACACATGAACTATCAATTATCCTTCACATAAAATTCAAAATATTATTAAGTTCATCACCTAGTACATAAAGTTTGTATGCTTTCTAACAATATACAGGTCAGGGAGGGTTGGATTTTGTCTAATACCATACCTTACCTGTACCCGTATAAGTTGTAAAATCTCAAAATCCGTCCTTACTCCAAAACCTGTCCTTCAAGTAAAAAAGCTAGCTCCATAGGAGAGGGTAGGGTGGGGTACCCACCGGGTAGGGTAGAAACTGATTGCCATCCCTAGACAAGAATAAGAATCAAAACTTTACACCAGGAATGAGATTCTAATTCCACCCAACCAAATAATTGGAATCAGAATACGTCATTCCAATTTCAATTCCAAACCTTATTCTAGCAAATCAAATGAGCCCTTAAATCATTTCTTACTACATAATTAATAACCCATGTCCACTGTTAAATTATTAATACTTAAATCATTTCTACTACATAATCAAATGAGCCCTTCAACTGGTAACAGATTCAACTCCACCTCAGCTGCTACATTAAAATATTATTTCCCAAATAAAAATTATAGATTACACTGCAATCCATTGCAAAATTCTGAAATTCCAGTCCCATAGTTTAATAATAGCCTCCTATAAACCACATCTTATCCATAAATTTGACACCAATCCACGGTCAGAATTCATCCCACTTAAGAATTCTGAGGTGGGCTGAACAGTTATTCTCCCTAAAAATTAAATACCTAACTGTCATTTATTTTAAAGGAAGCAATTTGTATCACCCACCATAACTTACCACCCGTCCCATTTTTCAAGAACTAGGACCGACCACTGCATGGATTTCAAGTTTCCAACTAAAACAACTGCTGTACCATAAATCAGTTTAATTAGTTAGACTTCTTCCAATTTGGGCATTATTTGTAGAACTATTTCTAAAAAAAAGAGTTTTTGTTCACATCACTGCTCAGGAAAAAGAACTTTTTCTTCTGATTCTTGATCCAGCTAATCTTCTAGCGCCCCCCCCCTCCCCCCCATCTAATGGTGGATTCATGATGCTTCAAAAATGGCACAAACACAAAATTATGGGGCCCCAATACCCATGTATTAATGGTTCTAACTTCTATGTCCCCAGAGCCAAGACCCCAGCTTAACCTTATCTAAATGGATGACCTAGTCTTGCTAAATTACGGCCATTGATAACGCTATGACCACTTTGACGGTCATTATCACTTATTTGTCTACTCAAATAATAATGCAAAGTAGAAAAAAATTGGAACAAGTAGCTTCACTATAACCATTAGAATGGCGAGGGCCTAACATTGATCAATGCTCATGTCACAGTTGCATTTGTCATTTTATGTACCAGAAAACCTTATTTTTCTATTTTATACCCTACCTTTCAAACCAAATACATCCAAAAAAACATAGTTGGAAGTTGGAACTATTTTTCATGTGCCTCAAGCCAATCAGACCTTGTTTTCATGGAGCTGTTTATGCCGCTAAGTATGGCAGTGGATCAAAGTCAGGTCAGTTTCAATCAGCTGAAATTTAGACAGCGATTTAGACAGTGATTTAGACTTATTTTTCTTTTTCTTTTTTCGTCTCAGTTTGGAAAGATTATATATAGAGAGAGAGAGTGAAACCTCGTATTTTGTATTATTTTATATATATTTATATACATATTTGTATTTATACTCTTTCAGAACTGAGATTTCTTTCTTTTTTTTTTCTTTTCTTTTTTTGAGAGGTGGGAATGGAAAAATTTTGGCCAGCAAGTGTGAAAACACAGGTTCAAGTTTAAAAATGGCCACTTTGTGCAAAAGAAAAAAAAAAGAAAAAGAATATGAAAAAGCAAAAGTTAAGACATGTGTTCAATCCAAGGTTCAAAGTCAAAACATGTGGGAATGGAAAAATCTCTGTACTCTTTTTTGTTTTTTGTTTTTTATTTTTCTCTAATCTGTTTCAGATGAGCTGGTTTAAGACCGGTCTACCCCCTGAATCACTTGCTAACCCGAAACACTCCCTATAGGAGCATATCGAAAAGGCTCGATATGATATGTATCGACTTTGAACTAGCTAAGACCAATAATTGGTAGTGGTCTTTTTATTGATTAAACCTGGATTGATGGATCCCAAGTGGACATCTGGCAAAGAGATTCAACATAATAGCAATACAGGTCAGAAAATAAGAAAACAAATTGTATATGTTTTTTGCAAATAGTTACAAAAATGCCATTTTTGTTCCCATATTTAATACAAATACTCGGTTTGTCTTTGGCTTTTGCCATGTCCCCATATGTTGGGTGAAGTTTTGTTTCTTACTTTTTGCTTCTTGGGACCAAACCATGTATGCATGAACTTTTGCTGTGTGTAAGTACTTCTGAACAGTCCAAATTGGGTGAGTTCCGGGAAAGAAGCAGAGGCCTGTTCATATTCATCACGACAGGAAAAAAATTGCATATATGAACCCCAACACTTCTAGAAACTGTATCTTGGCTCAACATTAATTTGCCACCTGTCAATGTTCTCTTTAACTCTCTTGCTCTTCCCATGATTTTCATTTCTATATTTTACTTTGGCTCTAAAAAGTACAAACTCTCGGTTGACAACGAAATGGAACTTTAGAAGTTTCCTATATTAGGGTTGTTAAGGGTCAAGCAACTATAGGGCTTTCAATGAGTCGGTTCTACCAATCGACCCAACTGAACCAATTATATTGGTTCTGGTTCTGTGATTTTGTCTTAATTAATAATTAGGCTGGTTCTAATTCTTGTTTGTTCCAAACCAATTCAAACCCCAACTGATTATCTTCGTAATAATAATATATAAAGGCTTTTTAGGTTTTTTGTAATTTTTATAATATTTTATGTCTACAATGGTATAAGATAATTTTAGTTAAAAATGCTTAATTTATAACATATAAATAATATATTATTTTACTGCCATTTTTATTAAGGTTTATCAAAAATCAAGTCTTGTTGTATAAGTTATTATTTATATATAAATAGTTATAGCCGTCAGTATGGTTCCGTCTATCAGGTCAGACCCAATAATCCCGACTCAAACCCAACTCATTGACAGTCTTAAAAGCAAGACTTAGGTGGCATTTGATAAATCTGAAATCTGAAGTTTGAAAAGTTAAAAAGATATTAAAAGTCTGAAATCTAAAAAGAGGTACAGACGCTTTTCTGCTTTTTAGAGGATCTGAAAAGATAATACTGTTTGTGTGGATTAATTCTACAACATCTAAAATTACTTTGTTTTACTATTTTACCCCTAGAACAAGCTATTTTGTAATTGTGAATGCAGTTAGCACTATTTCATAAAAAATAACTTATCAAATTCAAAATAATATCGAAATTATACAAACAGTTAATAAAAATAATTATTCACTAATAAAAAATCTTAAAATGATTAAAATTTAATAAAAACTAAAATAATCAATAAAAATTAATAATTAATTATTTAATTATTAATAATATTGAAATAACATGAACAAAAATGATATAATAAACAATAATTACTAAAAATAATTAATAATTATAAATAACATAATAAAAATTAATAAAAATAATTAATGTTTAGTAAAAAATATTAAGATAATTAATAATTAGTAAAAATAATTTATAATTAATTATCATCATCATCATCATCATTATTATTATTATTACTCAACCGTTGACGGTGGCAGGAAGTCAGGAGAGAGAGAGAGAGAGAGAGAGAGAGAGAGAGAGAGAGAGAATCACTACTACAAAAATGAGCGGTGGATTCACGAGACAGTGAAAACACGACTGACGTTCTTCCTTCTTGTCCCTGAGAGAGAAAACATGAATGACTAGGTTTTTTTGGGTTAGGGTTATAGGGGTAGCACACGTCATTTCCAAAAGATTGGAAGGGTAATTTCGACAATACATCGGCTTTGAAACTTGTCTGAGCGCGTTAAGATCCGGCCCATGTTCTATGGTTTTCAAATCTGAAAACAAAATTCAGATCAGTTTTAAGAGGAGACACCAAGCGGGTCTGAGGTCTGAAAAATAATGTTTTTAGACCTCAGACATTTGAAAAGTACAATCAAACACCACCTTAACATGATTTAGATCTTGTTGGGGAGGGCTGAAATGTAATGGCTTTTGGCTTTCCAAGGTAAGTCTTAGACAAAGCCAAAATCGGATATCAATTAGTCATTTGAAGAGTTCTCCACTTCTACCACTTTGAATAGCTTATGTGGGCACTTCTGAGCAAAAACTTAACTGATCTTCTGTTAAACGGGTCATGAGAAATTAACCGTCGAGAATTTGCAGTTGTACACAAAGAAGAGCACCAAAATATCGTGGTGGGTACTTTGGTCATTTCCACACATCCCCAGTCAAATTGCTGAGTTTCGGGAGGAGAATGGAGACTTAAGAGCCAATTCTCCCTTGAATGAGCTCTGAAGCATTAGAGAATCGAGAATATAAACTTAGCCATTAATGATTAAACTATCCTATTTATTACTTCAATATATATAATATTTTGTACTTTATTATTTAAAAATTTATTACTTTATTCTAAAATGTACACTTGGAGCAGAGCGCACAGCAGCATGGATCAAGGTGATTGCTTGTATCACAAAACACTGAACAGGAATAGAATCCTCCCCATCTGCTCAAAATTCAACACCTTCTCCCTTCCTCATCTTCCCCTTGGCTTTCCACCCCACCACCCAAACCCTAGAAATAAGTTAAATTATTAATTAAAAAATCAAAGAAAATAAATGATGTTATCCAGGAGAGATAGTCCGTGATGGATGGATGGGTAGGCCATGATTGGCTGTAAAGATGGTTGAATCGGTCAGCGATGTCAACAGTTGGATGGGTGGGAGGCATACTTCACCATGGTTGAAGGAAGTACAGAATACAGTCTTTGAGAAAAAGAAGTAACAAATAAATAAAAGAAGCCCCAGAATCTCAGAGGGAGAGTTCAGTAAACTGAGGAAGAAAGTGAGTGCAATTTCAAAAGTATTTATGGCTTATCGTGTAGTGGCAGATGCATATTCAAGGAGGTGTAATTAAGGGTGTGTGGAGTGGAGATGGGTAGGTCAAGCTTTTATAGGGCGCTTGAAGCCACTGTTCTTCCCGCTGGTGCAAATGCAAATGTTCCTCCATCATGATGGCGATCCATGAACCAGAAGGGCTATGCGCAGGTTAACGTGCACCTTCCATCAAGAGGGAGGCAGATCGAGACAGAGTTCCTTGTTGCCAGCTGCTCTCTTAATTTCTTCCCATTTACCACTGTTGGTTGGTTTATTATTGAGAATTAATGAGTGGGGCTCTGATTTGTTTGTGCTATTTGTTTTACTGGTAATGGTGGTGATCTAGGCATCTCAGCTTCTGGGTGGCACTGAATGAAATGGATACCGGAACTAGAAGGAAGAGACGACAAGCCCCACCTCTGATTCTGGCTCTCTTCCTCCTTGTTTTCTTCTCAAGATGCACAGTCCACGTTTTGGGTTTGAATTACACAAATCTGAGACAAGTATCAAGCTTAAGAGTTGCAAGGATTCAGAGACATTTGGAGAAGATAAACAAGCTTTCTGTTAAAACCATTGAGGTAATTAGCTTAATTATCTCTATAGTCTTCTCATCACTGCCACTGGTTTTCTTAATGATCTTCTGATTTCTTGTCTTCTGGCTGAGTAGGCCTTAATTTTGAAGTTTGATTCTTTCTTGATTGATTTTCTCAGAGCCCAGATGGAGATATCATTGATTGTGTTCATAGACACAATCAGCCAGCCTTAGATCATCCACTTTTAAAGAATCACAAGATCCAGGTACTTTGGCAAAACTCTCTCTCTCTCTCTGTCTCTCTCTCTGAATGTCAACTTGTATGTCTGCAATAGAGAGTACCTCCAGAGATGCCAAGAATGAGAGTGACAAAGGAAGGAGGAGGAGTAAGAAGTTACAATAGCAGTGAAGGAACAGAACATACATGGCAAACATGGCATCAAATTGGAGAGAGATGTCCGAAGGGGACGATTCCGATGCGACGAAGCTCAGTGAATGATGTCTTGAGAGCTAAGTCTCTGTATCACTTTGGGAAGAAACAACGCAGGCTGCCTCTTGATAGATATGTTGAAGCACCTGATGTGGTCAGCGGCAATGGCCATGAGGTATGTATGTATATATGTATGTTATGTTTTATCCCATGATTAATCTATCCTTGTCTATACACCAACGAAGAGGAAGAATGGTGATGAAAATGGGTATGAGAGGTTACAGAAGTATCTGAACTTGGAAGGTTCAAATGATTAATAGAGGAATTTTTTCAATATTGACTTGTGTATATGTATGTGTTTATGCATGCATTAATATATATATATATATATATATATATATATATATATATATATGATATTTTCCATTCAACGTCTCGACACCGAGCAAAGAGGAAAAATGGTGATGAAAATGGTAATGGGAATGGAAATGAGAGATCAGACGTCACGGAAAAATGATATGTTATATATATATATATATATATTAATGGGAATGGGAATGATCAAGTTGGAAACTTGGAATGGGAATGGAAAGTCACAGAAGGAACTGAACTAATTATAAGATTCAAATGGTCAAATGTGAATAGAGGAAAATTTCCATTGCCTACCTCCTTTGGTTACTTCTTGGCTTCTTCCTGCCTCAAATTTTGAATATCCACTTGAAAGTTCAAACTCACTCATTTTTAGCTTTTGTTGATGAAGAGACAATATCCTCTACTCCTCTCTACCCTGTTACCTTTAGCTTAAAAAAGTGAAAAACCACTGTCTTGATTCTTGAAGCAGCTAATGGTAATTCTCGCAAGTAATTCAAGGGGTAAGTTGAAATTTGATAAATATGTGATATAGTGCTGCAACATACATAGGATTGCCATGGGAAAACCTTTAAGTTTTTAGATTTAGCTACTGGTTTTCTGCACAATTAGGCACTGGATTTGCTTGGTGTTTTGTGCAGGCTGTTGTAGTGTGGATTCAGTGCCCCACTAGAATGATCTAGATCATCGTATCTTTTTATTGCCTTTTGCAGTCTTTTCTCTCTCAGCATCTGTCTGCAAGCCCAAAAGATGTTGACTTTTTTTTATCTTTTCTGAACTGTTTTGCACGTTTATAGCATGCGATTGCATACACTGGATCATCAACGGAAGAAATATACGGAGCAAAGGCTACAATAAACGTGTGGGACCCATCAATTCAAGTGGAGAACGAGTTCAGTTTGTCTCAGATTTGGGTTCTCTCTGGATCCTTTGACGGCTCAGATCTGAACAGCATAGAAGCTGGTTGGCAGGTGCTTCTTCCGTCTCGCGTACCACGTTACACAGTATCCGACATTCGAATATTTAAATAGTAAATAAATAATTAAAAATAACAAAAAAACTCGTTGAAATCAAGATAAACAATTATTTAAACTTCAAAGAAAAGCATTTTCTGAAGCTTTGATTCTTCTCTTCTAGTCAGGTCAGTCCGGAGCTTTACGGGGACAGCAAACCTAGATTATTTACTTATTGGACGGTCAGATCTCTCTTTCAACTCTATTCCTCAATATCTTGTCCTTTCATTAAATACAAACGTAAAAATCATGTTTTGTTTTACTATGCATCAGCAGTATAAGTATCATCTGTGCTACTATGTAGTTGTGTTGTAGGCCCCATCCATCGTATGCAAATCAAATTCCGATTAATTCTAACCGTCTGATGTGGACCTTTATTCTGAACTATTCCACCTACCCTTCTTTAGTATCCTGACTCCTGAGTACACCGCTTGGATGATGGCCTACAAGGGAAAGCCCAAAGGTTGACATTTTAGAAATGGGCCAGGATTACTGAATTATAAATAACCCAGAAAAAGAAACCCATGAAAAGATGGGTTTTGTCCTCTGCCTTGGCCCAGTAATTTTCAAATTTTGGCCTCAGTCATGGACTCATGGTGGACGTGGAGTGGGCCCTTGGGCCATTTAACTGGCAAACCCGTATACGTATAAGACATTTGTTGGATTAGATGTTGCCTTTGAAAGGCTTCAACCTGGTTGGATTTGGGCCTGGTATATTTAAAGCCCATTACACCTTGCACATCTTGTATAGAACAATAACTGGCCATGGTTGGTTGCTGTAATCACAATATTGCATCAAGTTGATTGTCTCCATTTTAATGCTACAGAGTGACTCGTATGAGGCGACGGGGTGCTACAACCTTCTCTGTGCAGGATTTGTACAGACAAACAGTAAGATTGCCATTGGAGCAGCTATATCTCCGGTCTCGAAATTCTCCGGCAACCAATTTGACATCACCATTCTTATTTGGAAGGTCTGCTAATTCATCTAATGGCTTCTCTATATGTCTTCTAAGGCACATTTAATGGCTTCTCTAAGTGATACTTTGACACAGTCCAACAAGAGAAAGAAATTAGGACTTATAAGGGATTGATCAGATATTTGACAGTCACTCTTAAGGGTTTTTGCCGATCAACAACCCTGATGCAAAATTTGCACCTTTCATCTTATTTGCACTTATTAGCAGTGCAAATTTTGCATGGAAAAATTTGCACAATCTTCCTCCTACCTTGATTCTCTTTAATATAAAGTGGGAATTACATCATTTTGCTTTCTATATTCTCTCAAAGAAGTAACTTTCTTTCTGCCTCCATTCTCCATATAGAATGGGAATCACATGATTTTACTTTCTATTCTCACAAACAAACAAGATGAAGTCAACTCTGAAGCAAAAACAAATCAGAATTTACACTCAGCTCATTTGCACTCCCACACATTTATATCAATGCAAATGAAATTTGCACTGCAAACAAATGTAGCCTAGGTTCTGCTTGTTCCACTGTAAAATGGTAGAAATATTTTCAAACCGAAATATTTCAACATTTTATGGTGATGAAAACTTTATTTTGCACTTTTTTTTTTATGTCCAAAACAAACACAACCGTAATGACTAAGGACCGGGGCTTTCTAGGCCCATAACTCCTTGATCCTGTCTAGGGTGCATTTGGATCTTTATAAGCATGAACTGGAGGATCTCATGGCCTATACTTGATTTTTCCCTAGAAGGTTTCTTTGTGATACCCATGTAATGGGCCAACTCATTGCTTTTGTATTCCTACAGGATCCCAATCTAGGGAATTGGTGGCTTGGATTTGGTGATAACACATTAGTGGGTTACTGGCCGGCGGAGCTGTTCACACACTTAGGAGACTATGCAACCATGGTGGAGTGGGGTGGTGAAGTGGTGAACTCAAGGGCCAACGGCAAGCACACATCAACGCAAATGGGCTCCGGCCATTTCGCCGAGGCAGGGTTCGGCAAGTCGAGCTACTTCCGAAACCTAGAGATTGTTGATGCAGACAACAGTCTCAGCCCAGCCCAAGACATCTCCACCCTCGCTGAGAACACTAACTGTTACAACATCAGGAGCTCCTCCAACAATGAATGGGGCACCCATTTCTATTATGGTGGGCCTGGGAAAAACCCACAGTGCCCATAATCATCAACCATTTATACAACCTTAGAAGAAAGTAAAATCTCCATTCTTAATTCTTTCTTCCTAAAGTTCCTATAAATATCTTTCTCTAGTTACAAGTGTATTGTTTTGAATTACCAAAATGTGTAATCTCATTATTTTTGTTCCATCAAACGGGCTTAGGTTTTTTATTTTGCTTTCCTTTTCTTTGGTCCCTTGTATTTTTCTTTTTTCTTGGGTAATGATCCTTGTAATTTTAGTGTTATATTCTTCAAAGTACTATGATATAATGGACTATGAGCCTTAAGAAAGTGGATATTCAATTGATTAATATTTAATTAAAACACATAAAAGAGTAATATTAAGAGAAATAAAAATAAAGATTTAGTGCCACTTGACCTACAGAGTATGAATGAACCCACCAACGCCATAACCTTTCTTTTCTTACCCTTGATTGGATGGGGAAGATTATCCAATGCCAAGATGAACCATGGGTTAGAGATGGGTCAATGTGGGGGTGGCTGTTAAAGCTGTTTGATAGACCATAATAAGGGCCAGTTTGGGAGGATTAAAGCGTTGTTCAGCTTCTTTGGAGAAGCCACTAAAAGAAGCTTCAATGCTATGCAGTAGCTTCTGACGTTACATGAGCCGAGAAAGCTGGAAATTCCTTAAGCCATGTTTGACAAAAAATCGGAAGGCTGAAAGTGAACTTACATGAACCAAAAGTTGACTTTTCAAAAATAAACTGCCAACAAAAAATAATCCCCATGCGAGAGGCTTAAGCATTCAGACTGAACTGCTGGCAAGGAACGAGTCCGGATCTCCTGCCCACACAAATTCTGCCCATGTCTACCCACAAATATTGCAGTCACACATGGAGAATATCTCATTCTCTTACATAGTATTATGCTGGGGAGATGTTCCCAATTCATGGGGATAGTGTGTTGTGAATAGACATGGGCAGAGTTCTCATGGGCAAGAGATCCGGAGTCGGAAGGAACGTCCATGAGAAATTAGACCATAAAATGCAATAATTCTGGGAGAGGGTCACTGCAACCTTTCGGTAATATTGGAAAAACCGAAAAAATATTTAAAAATAAAGCATACCTCCCCCATGCCACAAAAGAATACATAGCAAACAACCCACCGACTCCCCAAAGAGAACCATCTGAAGTAATTGAATTGGATCAGATGGATCACACCAATATCAAATTCAATAAAAATAAATTTGGGAGAAAGATGGTTCAGCCCAGGGTCAGAAATTTTAGGCCTAAAGTACAGTTGGGATTGGTGCCATCTCGGAATTGATGCCAATTTACGGGCAGGCATTGATGTATAGAGTAGGAATTTTTGACATTTTGAATATTTATAGATCTGCAGTGAAATTCAGAAATCTGCATTGGATCTGTCCACTTTTTCGAATAAACTTTGATGCCTCAAAAAAATTGCACGGAAGGTATACCTTTACTGAATGCATAACGAGGAATGCTCAAGGCATAGTTCTAAAGATAAAATGGGGCAAAATTGGTAATACAATCATCTTGATAGATGAAGTGTGGGCTGCTCTAGAAGCCCACAAGTTAGCTATCCATTTGCTAAATCAATTCATCACCATCGAAGGAGACTCTCTCCTCGTAATTAACAACCTCAAAGGTGTCTTGAAGGTCCAGTAGCAATCTACTTCGCTTCTCAAGGAGTGCAGGAATCTAGTTCATAGTTCCTCATCAACATTCTTGTACAAACACACCCACATAGAAGGCAATGCAACTGCTGACTGGCTGGCCAACCAATGCGGCTATCTGGAATGAGCCTCAGGACAAAGCTCCCCTCTTTGGGACTTCATTTTCTTAGTTCTTTTAAATGCAGCTGAGAGGTCTCTCCCCTACTGGTGCTAATTTTCCCTTGTACATTAAAAAAAAAAAGTTGACATATTGTTGAAACTATCTTAGGTGTTTTATCCGAAGTGGCTCAGTCAACACAGAAATGTACCCTAGCTGCTCAACCCCCCTTTATTATTATATGACACTTAGAGAAACCCTAAAAAAGGACGATTAGGCTGATTACTTAATATACTGAGGTTAGGATCTATAATCTCAAAGGCAGCTTTGTTTGGATTAATTAGAAATAAGAAATGAAGGGAATTGCAGTCTCTCACCTAAGCTGGCCACTTTTGGAAATGGGTTTTGTTTGTTTGTGTGATTTATAGAACCAAAAGCCATTGAATTTGGGTAGGTGCAAAGCTTTCAGAAACTCAAGAAATAAAGGCAAATGGAAACAGCTTATTCAATGGCATTTATTATTTGAAGAAGTTGGAAGATGAGCCCATTTGATCTGCAAGCTTTTCCTCTTCAACAACTGTATTGTAGTGGGGACATGAACCTTTTCTTTTTGATGGATTTGGTGGCAAACCCAAATCTGAAATGGAGAAACAATAGTGGGAAATGAATGATAGATATGGTCCGTTTGGTTCGGAGGAATAGGGGTCCGGAATCAGAATTTCGATTCCAGGCGTTTGGTTGGGCGGAATCGGAATCCGATTCCCATTCCGAGTGGAATGGCAATCCCCCATTTGAGGGAATGGCCATTCCCGACCCACCCCCAGGAATCAGAATCCCATTCCTGTTTCTTAAAATAAAAGGGAAATTGTCTAAAACTCACCATGAGTTTTCAACATTTCTCTTAAACTTACCACAATTTTTCAAAATGTCTAAAACTCACCATGTCAGTTAGTTTTTATTTTTCAAAACTCACCTTCCGTTAGTTCACCGTTAATGCTTCTTAACAAAGGTGCCCATGTCAGCATGAATAACAATTTTCATGACCAAATTATCCTTGAATGGTGAGTTAGAGGAAAAATGGTCTTTTTCAGTTTTCAATTTTCTTGTTTTTTTTTGCATTGTTAATGTTTTGTTATAATTTCCAATATTTTTTATAATTTCTGTTTTTTTTTACATTTTTCTATTTTTTACAATCTATAAATTTTCATGTATCTTTGTTATTTATTTACAATTTTTGTGTTTTCTATAACTTTTATTTTCTGATTTTGTTTTTCAATTTCTATAGTTTCTATAATTTGAAAATAATTTTTTATTTTGTTTGCAATTTCTATAATTTTTTATATTTTTTGTCATTTCTATGATTTTATGTATTTTATATTTGGAAATATTTTTTGAACTTTTTCCTTTTTTTATGTCTAAATATTAAAATGGTAATATATTAACACCCGTTAATTTATTTTTTATATATTTTATATTTTCTATGAAGGTTAAAATGGTAATATATTAACTTTTGTTAGTCTGTTTAACGCCAAGTTAGTGACATGGTGAGTTTTAGACATTTTGAAAAGTTGTGGTGAGTTTAAAGAAAAGCTGAAAACTCATGGTGAGTTTTAGACAACTTCCCAAAATAAAAAAAAAAAACAAAATTATATAAAAGCCCTTAAACCCTTTCACTACCTGATTCTAACTTTCTAACCCTCATCTTTCGTCTCTCTCCTTGTAGCTGAAGTTTGAAGAATGGATTTGGACTGAAGCTCCGACGACAACAAGGTAAGTCATCGTTGATTTTGCTCTCTCTCCTCTCCTATTCTACTTCTTCTTCTTCTTCTTCTTCTTCTTCTTCTCTCTCTCACACACACTCTTTACTCCAGAGCGGCAGAATATCAAGCTTATGATACAAAGCAACATGTACAGATATCTTAGCATATTGCTTGAGGGCCGGGAGCATTTTGAAGAGGAGGTTTTGATGAGAAAAAAGGATACTACATCAGATGCTGAAGATTCTAACCCAGGTTTTAATAGAATATTCTTTCATTTTGTTTTACCTTTCTGGTGTTTGCATTCTTTATTTTATTGACTAATTTAGTGCAATCCCTTGGTCGAGATAAAATATCTATACCACTGGTGGTAATTGTTTTCAGTCTTCCATTGTGATGTTGCATGGGCCACCCCAATGTAGGTTGGTAATCTTAAGTTGACCTGCACCTGTGGGAACCAATGACTGATTTTTTTTTCCGTCTCTTATGAATCCAATGAGTTTATGATTTTGTCCTGAATTGACCTGTTTAAATGCCAAATTATGGTAGATGCAGTTGCTTCCATAAGTCTCAAGGAAACAAAAAAATAAAATAAAATAAAACTAAAAAAAGGAAAGGGAACAAACTACAAAACTTTTTCATTCAACAAAGAGGTGCATATTGCATAAGAATGGAACCAGCACTATACTGAAACTTACAAACAGGTTTATTGTACACATAGAACATTGGGAGAAATGACTTGAAGCTTTCTTATCAAAAAAGAACAAAAATACCCAAAACTTAGAGAAGTGGAAATACTAGTTCATCATTTTACCTCAATATCCTACATTTATTATTTTCACAGCTCCATACAAAATTCCGGGAGTAATGGAATCCATCTAGAAGGCCTACTAAAACAATCAACTTCATCATATGTTTTAAACCATCTAATAAAATGTTTGTATAATCATCATCATCCATCCCTTATCCCAACCATATAGAGTTGGCTACATGAATTTTGTATTGCCATTCTGTTAAATTAATTGTAATTCATTTCTTACTACTTCAATAGTTCAACCTATCCTGTTTGGTCTACCCCTAGCCCTTCTAGTCCCTTCAACTTGCAGCGTATCTTTCTTCTTAGGGGTGCTGTAGATGGTCTTATATGCACATAGCCAAATTGGAAATACTCCTAGGTTCCTTTGAATGATTTTATTTCTGCCCTATCCTTTTTAGGTTTTAAATTCATCCATCTGAACATACAAATTTCTGCCACACATCCAATAGAATGTTTGTATCATGCTTTGAAATATTTGATGTATATAATTTCTGTTTAGGACATCTCAATCTCTGGCATGTTTCCAATAGTATTATTCATTTTAAATCAATAAAAGCAAGTTGTTATGTACCAAAAGAGAAAGCAAGCCTCAAATCCTAGGACCATTTGGGCCATCTCTCATGCAACCAACAACAATCTGGGAATCGTCTCCATCTTTATTGCTCATAGCTAAGGATTCATTAGTCTGAGCTGCTGGAACAGAGCCATGATATCCTCAAGTAGAGTTTCCAACTCCAATTGAAGCATAACAATAGAATTATCTCACCCCCTTGACTTGTCTAAACTCTAGTCATTCCTAAAAGTCTCAGGTTTCTAGTACATTTGTCAGAATTGAACTTAACAACTCATTTGGAATTTTTTTTGACAAATCCTGCATAACACCCAACCCAACTACAAAAGACAAACAACATAAACGCTGAAGGCAATAATCGCCAAGGGACCAC